CCCACAGGCCTCCCCCTTGCTCCTGGACTTCTGTTGTTGTCCACGGCTACAGGCCTGAGAAATTCTTGCTTCTCCTTCTGGTGTGCTTTGATTCCACCCTCCGTGCCCACGGCCACAGCCTGGTCAGGGAGCAGGTGACCTGTCTCTGGGAAGGAGCACCTGTCACTCCACACACATGGAAGTCTGCCTCTTCTCCCGGTGCTGCCCCTCATCCAGGGCCTTTCCTGCAACTCCGTGCCTGAGTGGCCTCCTCATTCTAGAGGTAGAGAAGGCCTCTTGCAAAGGCCCAACCACTGGCTAGCAGGTTTAAGCTAAAGCCGAGGTTGCATCCAGACACTCCTCATGGACCAGTGTTATGTCAGTGTTTATGAACTGCTAAATTACCCAGCAGATACTGAGCTGTGGTACAACTTGATCAAAGAGAAGCCGGCTGGCAGGACACAGAGGCATGTGCAAGCCCCAAGTAGTGTGAGAGGAGGGAGCCAAGCCCTCACCATGCCACTAAATCCAGAGGGCATAGAAGTCATTGCACTGGGTTGCCAGGACTGTTTGCACCTTTTCCGCCCCGTGCTCAGCCTCTCCACGGAGAGCCGGTGCTGTCAGGCCAGCACACAGTCTGCAGAGCACCCTGAGAGGCAGCACGGTATGCGGGAGCCAGGGGACAGCCTCGGGCCCTTCCCAGAGGCCCTGTGACCTGGGTCACAGTGACCCACCGTGGGAGAAGGGAATCCCTCTGCCTTCACACTCCCTTCCACCCAGAACTCTCCCAGGCAAGACATGTTTTGTTCTTTTACATCCTTACTTTTAGAATTTTCAGATGGTCAAAGAACTCCACTAGAAAGTTGTTCAAACCAGGAAAGGCTGTTTAGGGGCCTGAGGTGGCTTGTGTCACCTTCTCAGTACAGCCAGTGTTCTCATCATTCTCACGGTGACTCACAAACGCAGCTGTCCTAGCCGGCCACAGACAGCCTGTGACAGGTCTCAGGCCAGAACCTGCCGCTGAGCTTTGGGACTCTATCTTGTGTCCCTGTATAACTACGAATTAACGGAGTGGCTTCAGAGCAGGGGCTGAGGTTGCTGCAAGGCAGGCTTTGTCACCAGAGCTTTGGGCCCCGGAAGGACAGCAGAGTGTGATGGAGGCCTTGAGTGAGGAGGGGCCTGGTCGGCACCCGGGCTGGTGTCCTGGCGGTGACTGTCCCGGCCCCCAGGCGGCCACACAGGGTGCCTGTCGTGCAGCAGCGGAAAGCTTGCCTTCCTTGGAAGACAGATTGGTTGGGCCTGAGCCAGGGCCAGCGCTGCATGGTGCACAGTACTCTGCGGGAAGGGAGCTGCAGCCACGCTACACAGCATCTCCCCTTAGGGTTCCTCACAGGTGAGGGGCTGCGCCTGCAGCACGGGACCATCTCGCAGCCTGTCCTGCTCAGCGAGGCCGCCCACGCACACAGTGGCCTTTCCCAGTCCCTGTTGGGTCAGCCCGCCCTGTGCCCCGCTGGGGCTTCCCGCCCGTGGGAGCAGTGGAGAGCGCTGTGACTCAGGACTCAGCTCTCCTTTGGAGAAGTGCTTCCTGCCAAGGTAGCACAAGCCCAGCCCTGTCCTGGTTCACATCAGGACTAGAGCGGACACAATGTGTTGCCGAAAACAGGCACCTGGACACCTTCAGGGGCTTTGCCTTTAACGAGTTGACCACAAGCTAACCCAGAAGGTCGCCCTCCACCCCGTGCTTGCACACAGGGCCTCGCTAGGGAGCCCAGGCTGGCCTCGAACCTAGGTATCCTCCTACTTAACGCTCCCAAGTGCCGGGATTGCAGGCAGGCGTCACTACACCTGGCTAGATCTCTGCGGCCTTTTTAAATTCTGTAACCTGGTCGTTCCCCCAGGTGTACACTTGCAAAAGAGCTGGTTGCTCCTCCCGACTTCCACCCTCCGTCAGCTCACTGCCTTTTGCATGCCTGGCGCCACACCACACTTGGCTAAGGAACTCGGAGCCGTCAGAGGGTTGTGGGCTTACGTGAGGGCTCGATGCGTGCCCAGAGCACACCTCAGTGTTCCCCGGACACCTAGTGGCTGCGGGGCAGTGTCCTTACCATAAGGGGTGCGCAGCAGAGCCCTTGGGACCCCATCTGCCCAGCAGGAACCACTCGTGACAGTCATCATCGTGGTCCTCAAGTGCTCCTGACTGTGTGTGTGACCAGGGCTGGCACTGGGAGCTGGGCGCCCTGCTTTTAACTGCTCAGTGACTCGAATCTGCTGATGTTCACAGCTCTCAGACAGGAGCCTGTCATGTTCCTGAGTCCTCAGCCCGGTCTCACTATGGCTATAAATACAAATTCCTGCCACTGCACCCAAAGCAACGCCAGCACCAGCCAGCTCCTAAAATAGACGCGAGGCTGTGTGGTGTGGCCTGGAGCAGCTGGCCTGCCCCTCTGCCAGGGGAGAGCCTGATCTCCAAGCAATGGCCAGAAGCCGGGCTGCTTGCAATCCGGAGCCCCTCGGCTCCCTCTGGAGCACCCAGCACGTTTGTGGTGAGGACAGCCTTCCTGGCAAGTCCCTGCCCGAAGGTCTTGTTCTGTGGGGCTTGGCCGTGCTCCCAGCAGGACCACATAGCTGGAATACCAGAGCTTGGGGAGGGGCGGAGAGCCAGGCCCCTTTGTCCCACAGGTGCCAGCTGGGCTCCAGTCTCCTCCCTGCGTCCTCAGTGGCTGTCCCTCCTCGCCTCCTTCTCCAGCCTTCTCTGAACCTGAGCGGGGGCCACGGTCCACACACGCAGCTGAGGTGCTGCCGCAGGTCAGGCAGTGGTCTGGGCACTTGGATTAATAACGAGCGTCTGAGTGCTGTTCATCCCCCAAATATGTGCCAGGCCCCTATAGATGCTTCTGCCCTTGACGGAAGGGCCCTGCACAGGTGTCCCAGCGAGCAGGAGGGACAGCTGGCATGGACAGGCCACTCACAGTGCCTGCCGCACTGAAGCCACACAGCAGGGGCCACAGGTGCCCTTGCTTTCATCTGGTGAGACTGAGGCTCGAGAACCAAGGTCATGTGCCCAAGGCCACACAGGTGGGAGGGTATCAAGGGATCAGGCCCATGTCCAGGCAACATAGCGCACCCACCAGCTGTTTCCTGGCCCTCTTCCCACGGGTCCTGCATGTGGAAGTCCACTTGACCTGGCCCAGCTGAAGCCTGCTGACCGTGTGCCCAGAGCAGTCGGTTAGAAAGCTATTCTCTCACCCTGTGACTGCAGAAGTCCTTTGCCTGTGAGGCAGGACTCACTGCTCCTCTGCCTGCCTGCCAGGAAGCGCTGGCACCAAAGGCAAACCTTACGCTAGGTGGCAGCAAGTGCGCAGATGTGTAGGCTGAGGAGGGGCAGGGAAGAGGAGGCAAGGGGAGGGAGCTGCTGACAGACCCAGACTGTAGCTTCTGTCTGCCGCCAAAGCTGCTGCCAGCGCGGGGCCGCCCCGTTCCCCCAAAATAGCACCCAGCGCCTGAGAGACAGCCTCACCTTGGGGGCACATCCCCCGGGGGTGAAGTGGAAACCTGGAAAACCCACCCAACCCTTCACCTTCCTGCCGCCCAGCAAGTACCCCGCCTGCAGCACCGCCCTGGCAGTGGATCAGAGGAGTGAGTGTGGGGCCTGCTGGGCGCGCAGGCTACTGGCACTAGCTGGATCTCCAGTGGGGCTCTGTGGCCCGGCTCTCCAGATGGACGGGCACGAGTGAGCACAGGGATCTAGCGGGTGGACTAGGTTTGGCCTTGAGCTTGTGTGGGTGATAGGGAAAAGAAAGTGTTAAAAAATAGCAGGTGCTAGGGCTGATAGCAGGGGGCTGCTGTAAAACAGGCAGAGCTCATGGGGTGAGGCCCTCAGCCGTGCGTGCAGATTGGTGCGGCCGGCAGGGCGAGGCTCTGCGGGGTGACCAGAGGGTGGCTCATTCCTGGAGTCCAAGGCTAAGCACAGCTTTACAGAGCTCTCTGAGGCCATGCGTCGCTCCTTCCTCTCCTTCCCACAGCCGCGCAGAGGACCCTTGGGACAGGGACACGCGCGTTTGTGTGAGCCGGCAAGAGCCTGAAGCCTTGTCCTTTCCACGTCTGCTCTCCCATCCCCACGGTAGCTGGCAGGGTGTCAGCAGGCCTTTGCAGGCTGTGGAGACACAGTCGGGGTCTCAGCTGGGCGGGCAGGCCGGCTGGGCAGTGTTCCCTGGCCTGAGAAGCTGTGGGCTATCGTAGGCTCCGCTCAGGCAGGCCACAGACCTTGCTGCCCCGTGAGAATTTGGGAAGTGTTGCCTGGTGCCTCTGGGTGACATCAGAAATGTTGGAAGATCACTGAGTTTGTTTAAAAGCAAGCCCCAGGTCAGATGTGGTGGCACACACCTGTAATCCCAGCACTCGGGGAGGCGGCGGCAGGAGGATCACTGGGAATTTGAGGCCAGCCTGGTCTACAAAGTGAGTTCAAAGCCAGCCTGAACTGCACAGTGAGACCCTGTGGGAAAAAAAGCAGGGAAAGTAATTGGGTCAGAAGGGAAATTAACTCACCAGTTCTCAATGGTGCAGTTAGTTCTTCAGCCACTTTTGAGGCTTAGACCCTTCATCTCCCGAAGGGCTCAAGACAGACTCCACTATTTTAAAAGTCGCGGTGTTTGTCTTCGGGTTAGACTAAAGAGACTCACCCAGAAGATCCCTGACGAGGAAACATAACTGTGGCGTTGGATGTGGCTCTGCGGCTCCCGGGGGGCAGGGTGCCAGGGGCTGGGTCGTGGCCGCAGAGGAGCATGTGGGCCCGTGGGCATCCAGGCGCCGCACCCAGATCCTGCTGCTCAGTCCCAGCCTCCAGGCCTTTCCTCTCTAGGGGCCTCGGGGGCCGGGTTTGCTCGCATGGCCATCCGTCCTGGTTAGAGCTGGTTGGAGCAGCCCCTCAGCGCACAGCCACTGTTAACCTAATGCCTTTTTCTCTTGTCTGTTTTCTCCTTCCTGTACCCTCGTTTTTGTTTGTTTCCGCCTGGATTCCGTAGTACAAGTCTGTGTTTAGGTCCTACTCCCAGGACTTCGTGCCTCACCACCAAGCTTCCATCCAACCTTTCCTTCCGCCTACCTCCTCTTCCTCTCCACATTTCCCACCTGTCCACCCGTCTCCAAGCTTGGACTTGGCGGGCCCCGCCGTAGCCAGCCCACCTCCCCGCACCGTGGATGGGCCTCTCTCATCTTCCCAGGAGAGCAGCTTTCATGGGAACCCTGTCTGCCTTCCTTCCGAAAGCTCTTTCACTGATCCGGTGAGCACCCAGCACACGCGGCTGCACGCGGCTGCATGGTTCTGCAAAGCGGCATCCCCTTGGCTTCCCTTTGCCGGTAGTCATGGCCGTGCCGGCCTCGCAGCACTGCTGGATCGACAGCTGTGGACCCAGGGTGCCACGGTGGCCCATCTGCTTCCAGAACGGAGTGAAGTGTTTGGTACCAAACTCCTACCTCACTAGGAATCTGGGTCCCTACAATCCAGTCGGGCAAGTGACCATTCAGAGAGCGAGTGTGAGGGTGAGGCGCCCCACCCCGAGCTTCCTCTGGCTGTGTGAAGAGAAGGGTGTGAGCCCTGCAGAAGGGACAGTGACAGATGAGGCGGTGGCCTAGAGCCAGGGAAAGGCTGGCTTCCTGGCCCGTGAAGTGGCCCCTGGCACTGCGCTGCTGCCTGTGTCAGAGGAGCTGCCCCGCAGTGCAGGTTGGAGGAGGGGCAGAGGGCGCCGCAGGCAGGGCCATGCCCCAGCCAGGCAAGCCGCCTAAGTATCACTTCTTCCCACCTTCCCAGGGACCCCATGACCCTCCATGACCATGGGGCCACCTTTCCTGGCCAGGCTCCAGAGTGGGCCTTGATCCCTTGGAAGACGCAGCCAGAAGCTTGGGTCCCAGCTAGCGGGAGGCCAGAGGTAGCCAGAGCAGCTTTGTCCCCTGACTCCAGGGAGGTGCCATGCAGGACCGGGGAGCCTGGTCTCTGGCCCTTTCTTTCTCCTGAGGCCACATCCTGGTCTGGGCCCACGCGGCCCTTGGAGCAGCGGTGGCCGGAGGCCTGGCCCATTGTCCTCCCTTTCGTCCTGTCCCCCCAGAGCGAGAAGGCCAGCGAGGAAGCTGGTGAGGGTGAATACGTCAGTCTGTATTCCTCGGGCCAGAGCAGTGTGGAACTGGCTCGCTCTCGAGGAGTAAGTAACCTCGGGCGGTGGCCTGGTGCATGTGGCCTGGCACAGCTGGCCCCTCCCCAGACCGCTCCCTGGCGCCTGCTTTTGTGTGGCTGAGCCCCTCCTGGCCGTGGTAGATGGAGCCCCCGAAGCTCCCGGGAGCTGGCTCAGTGGGGGCGGAGGCTGTGGCCTGCAGGCAGGGTCTCCCCTCCTGCTTCGGTGGGTGTGGTGCAGCTCAGCCTCCAGGAGCCGCTGGACCCTGGCCACGTGTCCCATGCAGTCTGGTGTCTCTTCCAGCCCCCTCTCCAGGGCTCTTCATCCTCTCCCTCCCCAGCATGACCCCCTGAGCTGCTCCCAAGCAAGCTGGGGTAGCCCAGTGGGGCCCACACTCCTCAGTCCCGAGAGGAGCCCCTGCCGTCATCACCCCCTTTATGCTGCTGCCCCAGCCTGTGACAGGTACAGTGGTGCTTTTGAGCATTCAGCTTTGTAAAACATGAGCAAGTTCAGAAGCTTCAGAGGTCACTGTCCCCGCGATTCCAAGCAGAAGGAGCCTTTGAGGAGGAGGCCAGGTCCCCGAGGACCAGAGTCCTCCCCAGTGATTGCCCACTCTTTTGAGGTGGTCCTGCTGCAACCTGCAGCACCGATGGATGGGTGCACACCCAGCAAGTCACACAACCCTGAGAAATTTCACTCCGAGGGCATTGACCCTGCCCCACCTGTCCCCACTGGTGACACACATCACCAGTGTCATCCAGCTTGGCCTCCCACCCTGCTTCCTGCCAGCAGGTGCAGGGAGCACTGGTCCTCTCACCGCCAGCACCCTCACCACGCTGGTTCTCCTGGGGACATCACAAGGCCACTCTGTCACTCGGTGGGGCTGCAGTAAGGCTGCAGGGGGAGGCTCACAGCCACCTGTGTGCAGGGCCTCTGGCACTGTCACTGGCTGGGTGGCACAGCTCAAAGAGCCTTTCCCTAGGACATAGCCAAGTTCTGTATGCACACAGTGGGGCCAGGGCACCCCTGGTTCAGACCCAGGCTCTGCTGCTCGGGGGCCATGTGGTCCTCAACAGGTCTGTGCCCCATGTCCTGGGATCCCCCTGAGCAGGCCTTAGCTCCTGTAGGGGCCGGGGAGGAAAGGCACATGGCTGAGCTCTGCAGCATTGGCTGGGGACAGCCTGTTCTGGGAGGTGGTTCAGGTGGCTTTACCCGGCAGCAGCTGGCAGAAGCTCTTTCCTTCAAAGGCAGGATGCTAATTTTGAGGGGGGTCTCGTGTTTCCTGTGATTTCCTGCATTCCTCACTAACCTGCTCCCACCTCGCTTTGCTCCTTAGGGACTCGCATCTGAGCCATCTGCAAGCAGGTGGCTGGGGAGACTGATCTGCCCGGGCACGGGCCACCTGCCCAGAACCCAATACTCCCCTCTCTCCACAGGAGACGCCCACCGGGAAAGATGGGCACCCCAGGGACCCCTCAGTGGGGAGCAGCATACCTGGCAAGGACAGCAGAGATGGCAGTGAGAGGTAGGAAGTGATAGGGGAGTGATTGGTCCCCCAGGGGCTGCACATCCATGTGGTGAGGCCTGTCTGTTAGTTTTGAGGGTCTTCCTTCCCCTGACTACAGTACTCGCTCAGGCTGGAAACTGACTGAGAAGACAGAAAAGCCAGTGGGTAAAGTATCGCATGCTGGTAATTCCAGCCATTTAGATGGCTTAGAAAGATTGCAGATTTGAGGTCAGCCTGGGCAACATTGTGAGACCCTGTCTCACATTTTTGCTTAATTAAAATTAAATAGAATAAAAATTGCTGAAAAGTAAAAATTAGCTGGGCATGGTGGCACATACCTGTAATCCCAGTACTTCAGAGGCAGAGGCAGGAGGATCTCTGCAAGTTCGTGGGTACCTAGTAAGTTCAAGGCTGATCTGAACTACATGACAAGACCCTGTCTTTAAAAAAAAAGTAAAAATAAAAACGAAGCTGGAAATGTAGCACAGTTCTGGGCCTGGAGCTCAGAGATAGAGTACTTGCTGGGCAGGCACAAAGCTGAGTCACCAGTACAATAAAAAATAAAATGGAGGGCCAGGGATATAGCCCAGCAACACAAGCAGCTGCCTGGCGAGCACAAGGTTCTGAGTTTGATTCCCGGTACCAAAAATTAAAAAAAAATTAAGTGGAAAACTTACAAATAACCCCACCCATCAGAGGTACTGCCACAGTGCCCAGCATCCCTTGCGCCTTGCAAACCCAGGATCTTGCCGTTTTTGGATCCCAACCAGCCTCTCTGGGCTTCCAGAAGCTGAGGCATCCCAGGGCATGCAACAGACCCCACCCTGCCACCCACCACTTCATTATCAGGGACATTTCTGTACATATATGTGTATGTCATGTTGCTAAATGATCATGAACATCAGGTACGGATGTTGTGATACTTGGCCCCAAAAACCCAACTTGCCGTTCCTAACATAGAAACCCTAGCTGGGTGTGGTGGCAGATGCCTGCAACTTCAATACTCAGGAGGCTGAGGCAGGAGGATCACAAATGCAAGGTCAGCCTGGGCTGCATAGCAAATTCAGAGCTGGCTCAGACTAAATAGTGAGACCCTGACTTAAATAAATAAGCCTGGTTACAACACCCTAGTTGCAGGCAAAGGCTATAGCTCAGTGGTACAAACATCTGCCTGGCAAGTGCAAGGTCCTAAGTTCGATTCCCAAAAAAAGCCCCTAGTTGCACCTTAGGAAGTTAGGCAACCCCTGATGTCATGTAATAGGCAAATCACGTTCCAGGTTCCCTGTTCTCCCAGAAGTGTCTTGTAGATCTTCATTTTTGTAACCAAGATCAGCCAGGACCCAGGAAACATCCATGGCATGGCTCTTTCCTATTCTGTGGCACTGTCAGCTTTAGCGCTGGCCACACCCAGCCAGACCCAGGGACCCTGAAAGAGCCACAGGGAGCATCCCACCTGCAGCCCTGTGCTGACGTCACCTGTGCCCGCCCAGATCTCCTTCCCCTCAGGTCAGCCACCTCTGGGGTCCTACATGGTCTTGTGAAGCTATGGAGGGTGCCGGGCGTGGTGGCACACACCTATAGTCCCAGCACTCAGCACGCTGAGGCAGGAGAAACGTTCTGAGTTTGAGGCCAGCCTGGGCTAAAAAGTGAACTCAGGGCCAGCCTGAACTGCATAGCGAGACCCTGTCTCAAAAAGACAAAAGACGGAGGGTTTGTCCCGTCTGCTTGATCACAGCTTTTTCACATTGCTGCCCGAAGGCCCAACAGAGTGGCCTTGGACAGACTTTGAGCGTGGCATTGAGCCGTGGGAACTTTTCTATCCTGCTGGCCTTTCTACCATCCTGCTCTTTAAATACTGACGGTGCCCATGGCGCCCTGGCCGGAGCATGGCTGCAGCCACTGTGAATAGCCCCGTGGGACCTTGCTGATCCCCGGCTTCATCTCCTCTGTTCACGGATGAGACCGAGAGCAAGGGAGGCAGCAAGGGGCCCAGGCTGCACAGCTGGTCCGAGCCCGGGCTTCTCATCGAGGTGCAGTTCGTGCCCCTCGCACCCCTGAGCAGCCAGCACCACCTCAGCCTCTGGTGCCGGGAGCACAGGGCCTGAGTGACACTTGTCACGCCAACTACTTCCTCCAGAGTCCCGAAGTCGCCAGATGCCCTGGAGTCAGCTCAGTCAGAGGAGGAAGTGGACGAGCTGTCCCTCATCGACCACAACGAAATTATGGCCAGGCTGACGCTCAAGCAAGAGGTGAGGGCTGCACGGCTTCACAGCTGGTCAGAGGGTCGAGGCTAAGGTGACCTTTGTGTCCTCGCATGTCTCCATTAATGACCGGCCAGGTGTGGCTTCCGGGAGGAAGTTTGCTGTCTGCAAGTGGCAGAGCCCTGAAATCCTGTGGCTGCCTCCCGAGGTCCGGGAGAGTGAGGCCCGTGGTGGTGCTGTGCAGAGCAAGTGCCACTTACGTGCTGCTGACGGAGCCGCGCAGGCCTGGCCCGGGCCGCCTCCAGTCTGCGTTGTGTGAGGGCAACGCCCTGTCCCTTCTCCAGAGAGGAAGTGGGGCCACGAGAGGCCGTCACATGCCCACCCGCCATCTCCTGGTGGCGAGAAGGCAGAGGCCACCTTGGCCTAATCCTGGGGCAGGCAGGGCTGGCAGGAGTAGGAACCTGGGCGGCTGGGCCCGTTCTCACAGGGAAGTCAGCTCACAGGCACAGCCGCCCCGGCCTCAGGATGCTGCGGGCAGGTGTGTAGCGGGGTGGCGGCTCTGTCCCCCTCAGAGTCACAGGGCCCTGGGCCATCACTGTTGGCCTGGCCGCCATCCCAGGTCTTCTTCCCACTCTTTGTGGCTGTAGGCCAGATGGCCTGTGCCCGTTACCGTGCGGAGGTGAGACTTGTTCCTCGCTGGTCACCTGAGCGGCAGCAGGTAGAGCATCTCTGAGACTTTGTGCTCCGTGATGGAGCCACACAGGGACTGAAAGGGCCCTCGCCTCCCCCAGGGAGCAGGTGCAGACCTGGGAGGTGTGAACATGCTCGGACACGCTTTGCTGCCTCCCAGGCCTCCAGGGACCAGGGACTGTGAGCGGAGTGGAAGTGTAGGCTGACCCTGAGTACTCCTGACACCGGCATGTCCCAAAGGTGGTCACCTGTAGACTTGGAGACATCAGGTGTCCTTGAGGAGTGTGCCCTGGGCGTGGAGCCTTGGACAGCTGCAGAGGCAGCACAGCCTGACCCTGCTGGGTGGAGGAGAGCAGAGGGGATTTGCGGTCCCTGCATCGCAGTGTCTTTGTCGCCTCAGCCCGGCTCACGCCCTCCTTGGCTGTTCTCACTCCAGGGTGACGACGGGCCGGATGTCCGTGGAGGATCAGGAGACATCTTGCTGGTTCATGCTACTGAGACGGACAGGAAAGGTTTGTCTGTCCACGGTCTCACAGGGAGTCAGTCCCATGGGCCCTGCGCAGTCCTCACCTCTCCCAGCAGCCCCTGGCAGATCCAAACTTGTGGTCAGGTACTGCTGGGGAAGAGGAGGTGGAGCCCACCCAGAGCCAGCCTGCTGGGCGTGGTGTCCCTCGGGGCAGTGTGGTGGTGCCCCAGAGCCTGCAGGGAGGTCCCAGGGGGAAGGCAGTCACTGGCACCTAGTGCAGCTCCACAGCCAGCAGCTTGGGTAACAACGTGCAGAACAGGGTAGGAAACCCCGTAACCCCAGCAGCGTCCACTGTGCCTGGCCTTTGAGCCGATCTAGTATTCCAGTCACACTGGATCCGATGGACATGCTCCTGAGGAAGTCCTGGGAAAGCACGTCCTGTCCCAGAGCCGCCCATCATGGCCGGGACATCACCTCACAAGCCGAGGGCCACCAACCTCGCCACCCTTCCTGTCCTGACCGTTTGGGAGGGTGGGAGGAGCAGGTGCCACATTCCCCCAAGACATCCTGCTTCCGAGTCATGTTCCAGAAGGGAGAGAAGGAGGGCCTGTTAGCCATGCCAAATGGCGCACGCCTATACTCCCAGCACTCTGGGAGGCTGAGATGGGACTGCACGTTCAAAAAGGAATTGCCCCGATTTAACATCAGAGATTGTCGGAGGGCAGGTCACACAGCAAACGAAGGGGCCATGCAGACTGGGGAGCTAGCACCTCTGGCTGCAGCAGCCCCTCCAAAGAGAAGGAGTGACTCCAGGAGGAGCTGGGCCCCTCACAGCGGACCTTCTCACCCCGAGCCTGCCACCCCTGGCACTCAGTGCCTGCCCTGCCGTAGCGGCCTGCCGTCTGAGGGACCCCTCTGGTTAGCTTCAGGCTCCCCCAGCCCCGCTGAGTGCCCCTGTTCCTGCAGACCTGGTCCTGTACTGCGAGGCCTTCCTGACCACCTACAGAACCTTCATCAGCCCCGAGGAGCTCATCAAGAAGCTGCAGTACCGATATCCTCTGCCCCGCTCCTCGCCCCCCCCCCCGCCCACGTGACTGGGAAGACAGGAGCAGGGTTGCGGCCCGGCCCAGCACCATGCGGGTGGTGCCAGGGAGCAGGGCTGGGCTCGGGTGGATGTGGCCTCTTCATCCATGCCAACCAGGCGAGGGGCAACTGTGCCTCATCCGCAATGCCATCTGCGCTGCCCCTCCATCAGCTCTGTCCCACAGGCTGAGTTGGGGGCCTGTGACTCCACAGAGGTGGCAGGAAAGACCCCTGGGGACCTGGAAGGAAGCACGGTCACGCCGGTTGCCTTTCAAGCCTGCTGGGCCCTGGCCAGCCCCTTCCCCTGCCCTGGAAGGCTGGTGGGCCACTGCCCATTCCGGCCACTCCCAGCCTTGCAGCTGTGACTGCCATCTGCTGGGCAGCTGCTGTCCCTCGAGCAGGGTGTCCTGAGCCCCCCACTCTGCCTGCCCTCTGCATTCCCTGCAAACCCTAAGTGGACACGTCTCGTCGGAGTCCAGGGTCCCCGCCAGCCTCACACGGCCCCTCAGCCGTGCTGGCAAGGCTGGGAAAGCAGTTGCACGCTTGCCAGACACAGGCTGGCCAGGCGAGATGCACTCGCACGTGTGCTCTGGCTCGGCTACAAGACTGTTCTCATGTCATCGACGTACCACATGTGAGCTCTGATTGGTCTCCTGTCACACAAGCCCAGAACGAGGCTCAGCCCACACCTAGGTGCTCAGCCCCTCCCGCCCCTGGTCACAGGAGCACAGTGACCTCAAGATGCAGGCACTGCCGGGCGTGGTGGTGCACGCCTGTAATCCCAGCACTCGGGAGGCTGAGGCAGGAGGATCGTTGTGAGTTCAAGGCCAGCCTGGGCTACAAAGTGAGCTCAAGGCCAGCCTGAACTGCACAGCGAGACCCTGTCTCAAAAAGACATAAATAAATAAATAAATAAATAAAAAGATGCAGGCACAGTTGCCCAATGAGTGCTCTGCTGCACCCTCCTGGGGCCTGGCTGCACCTGGGCACCACAGGCCAGGTGCCGGGTCACCAGGAAGCAGGCGGGCCGCATCAGGGAGGATCTGGGGAATGCTGCAAAGCAGCAGGCCCCTGCCTCCAGGTAAGGGGGCACCCCAAGGACAGTCCCAGGGTGGATGCTCGGGAAGGGTGGAGGAAGCCCTCCCACCTGTACCCTCCCCGGGACCTGAGGACCACAACAGCGGCCATGGGTCTTGAGAGGCAGGGAGCCTGGCCTTAGCAGAGTGGTCCTGCAGAGACGCGACGGTGGCCATCAGGAAAAGCCCCTCGGGGCCAATGGTCTGGGCAGCGCCTGGCTTGGCAGCGCTGCCCCTTTGCTTTGGGCCCCTGGTGCTTCACATGCTAGGCTCCTGGCCGGTGACAGGTGCAGCTCAGGGCCCCCTCCGAGTGTCGCCCACGTGTGCCCTTTCCTTAATCCACGCTTCACATACGAGAAGTTCTCGCCCTTCGCCGACACGTTCAAGAAGCGTGTGAGCAAGAACACATTCTTCGTGCTGGTGCGGGTTGTGGACGAGCTCTGGTGAGTGCTTTACCCAGGGTGAGGGCGTGGCACTGGCCAGAGGGCAGGTGGCCTTCCCTGTAGGGATCGTGTGACCGCTGTGGTCCCACTGTTCCTGGGGCGGCCACAGTGCAGACCCCTGGAGACCCCCAGGTGCAGTTCCTGTCTGCTTCATCGAGGCCCTGGAGTGACTTGGCCCCCTAGAGCAGGGTGAGAGGTGTGCAGGCCACCTGGGGCCATGCCGCCCTCCACCTGGGCCAGGCCCTCCGCAGCTGCACACTTAGCTTGAGGGCCGAGGGGCAGCTGGGCAGAGCAGAGGTGGCAGCCACACCTGACCCCTCAGTATTTCCACGTCTGTCTGTTGCAGTCTCCTCCACGGCCTGTGCCCTTTCCACCCTTAACAAGCCTGCCTTTAACAGTGGTTGCCCGGCGTCAGGGGATGTGAGATGCCTGGCGCTGACCTGCTGCCCGGGAGATGGCTTCCACACCCACCTGAGGGCTGGCCCGTCTCCTCACCCGAGAGAGGCCAGGAGCTCCCCGCAGCATGGCTGCGCAGGGTTTCTCAGGAGCCCAGGCCGGTGTGGCCCGGCATGGCCAGTCCCTGCATGCATGCTGGGCGAATGACAGGGATGCATTACCAGGACAGCTGCTTTGGACACTGCAGATGGGGGCAGCTGTCCTGGGACCCTCACACCCCACGGGGGTCCTGGCTGGTGCCCTCAGGCGGTCCCGCACCCACCCCCTCACCCTGTGCCCTGGCCCTCAGCCTGGTGGAGCTGACGGAGGACATCCTCAAGCTGCTGATGGAGCTGGTCTTCCGCCTGGTGTGCAGTGGGGAGCTCAGCCTGGCCCGCGTGCTGCGGAAGAACATCCTGGACAAGGTCGACCAGAAGAAGCTGCTCAGGTGTGCCAACTCCGACCAGCCCCTGGCAGCCAGGGGCGTCGCGGCCAGGTGAGGAGCCCGCTACCCGGCCCATGACCTCGCATCCCCTGAGGAGGTGCCTCGGGACAGCCCTGGGCGCTCTGTGGCTGGGCCGCGCCTGGGTCTGCACGGGGCGACAATCGGTTGTTGGCATGAAGTGGGGCAGGAGACGGAGGAACGTATGCAGGCTGCGGTCGGCCCTGGGCTGCATGGGCATGAGGAGGCTGACGCTACCTCCCCTACCATCCTGCCCATTCCCGGGAACCTGGACACAGCCCAGTCTCCCGCTTGCCCCCTTCCCACCTGAGCGTGGCTGTCAGCCCCAGCTACAGCAGGTCGGCGGCTAGCTGCTGCTCAGCTGACCTTCAGCTGACCCCAACATCCCCGTTCTCACAGCTACCTGGGAGAGGCTTGGGGGTTTGGGGGCTTCTGAGCTCGGGAAGTTCTGTCCCCACTGTGGAGCCTGCAGAACACCCTGCAGGGGCGAGAGAGGCAGGCAGACTCATGCCAGAGAGCCCTGTGGCCCGGGGACCTGAGGAACACTGCAGCTGACGGCGGCTCCTGCCCTCCTGCCCAGAAGTGAGGTCTGGATGGCTGCTCCGTGCCCTACACCGGAGCCTGCAGCAGCACCTGACCGCGCTTCTCTACCTCCGTCCTCCAGGCCCGGGACCCTGCATGACTTCCACAGCCACGAGATAGCTGAGCAGCTCACCCTGCTGGACGCCGAGCTCTTCTACAAGATAGAGGTACGGGGAGCGGGCGGCACAGGGCGGCTGCACTGCTCACGGAGAGCCGGGGCCGCAGTTCTGGCCTGTCTCCCTCTGCAGATTCCTGAGGTTCTGCTTTGGGCGAAAGAGCAGAATGAGGAGAAGAGCCCCAACCTGACCCAGTTCACAGAGCACTTCAACAACATGTCTTACTGGTGAGGGGACGGCGGCGCGGGGGTGGCTCCTGTCCCCCGCGGGAGCACATCCGTGGCCTCGGTGGGCCCTGTGGGCGCTAACCCAAGATGGCGGTGGACGGGCAGAGCAGGGCACACAGTGGACTCGCAGGGGAGGTGCCAGAGCCTCCGCAGACGATTCACAGCCCCCAGGGTGGATTCGTAGTGCCTGCCCTGGAGGCCCCCTGTGCTGGCCCCTGCCTGTCTCTGCCCTGCCGGGAGGCTGTCGACAGCCTCGGGGCCGGTCGGCGCTCACTCTGAGGCCAGCTGGAGTCGGTGGGAGCACAGCGGGTTCTGTTAACGCTTGTCTTCAGCCACGGCCAGCAATGTGTTTGCAGCCCGGGCCTCTTGGCTTTGGGGATGGAGCCAGCCAGCCCTGTCCCGGCGGCAGCAGGCTCGGCCCATGTGGCCCCCTGGCCCAGAAGACCATGGTGTTTCTGAGACTCCAAGGTCCACTCGTGGAGGCAGACAGCATCCCGAGCCCGCGTCTGCTCTGCGCCCAGACCCCGCCTTCTGTAAGCGTGCTCAGTGCTTGCAGTTGACATTGTCCGGGTGCAGCGGTCCCGTGCTGTGGACGCTGCCTGTGCCCCTGGCTTGGCCTCCGGCGCATACTGTGCCTTGCTGAGCGCCAGAGAGCTGGGGGCCTTCACCACCGCGGTGGCCGGTGGGCCGGTGCCTCCCCAGAGTCGCCCGGCAAGCCGCAGAGGGCTGAGGCCCCACGGGTCCCGGGGCGCCCACGGGGCTGCCTTTGGTTCCTGCTGTGGTTTTGCGCTGCGTGTTGCTGGGTTCTGAGCGGCCGTCGTCGTCGTCATCTTCGTGGCTGCTCAGTGGCTCCTGATGAGGTGGCAGTTGGCCTCCAGCTGGTCCTGGGGGTGCTCACGGTCAGCACGTGCCTCCTACGGAAGCCCATGCTGCACGCCCGTGCCATGGGACCTGGGCCCCCTGAGAGCAGAGGCCAGGCCGTGGCCAGGGTCTGAGAGGGCCGGCTCAGGCAGCCACACAGCCTCGTGCGTCCCCACCCCCAGCCTGGCGCCTGCCCAGCAGGCCCGCGGGCGCCGGCAGCTCACTTGCCACGTCTGTCCTTGCTCCTGCAGGGTCCGCTCCATCATCATGCTGCAGGAAAAGGCGCAGGACCGGGAGCGGCTGCTCTTAAAGTTCATCAAAATCATGAAGGTGACAGTGCTAAGCCCCCAGACTCTCCCAGGCCCCGCAGGGAGCCCTGCGCCCCCTCATGGTCCCTCCCTCCACAGCACCTGCGGAAGCTGAACAACTTCAACTCCTACCTGGCCATCCTCTCGGCGCTGGACTCGGCGCCCATCCGCAGGCTGGAGTGGCAGAAGCAGACCTCGGAGGTGGGGCAGCAGCCGGCCGCGGGTGGTTCTGGGTGTGACATCCTGCACCCGGGTCCCAGCCTAGGCCTCGGGTGGGTGGTGCAGGGCGAGGGTGGGGGCAGAGCAGGCGCCAAAGCAGGGCCACGCCCTCAGGATGGGTCACCATGCGTGACCCAGAGGGGCGTTTCCCGCGGGTGGCCAGGCTCAGTGTGCGTGTGCTCGCTCACCGCCGCCCTCCTCCCACGCAGGGCCTGGCCGAGTACTGCACGCTCATCGACAGCTCGTCCTCCTTCCGCGCCTACCGGGCCGCCCTCTCAGAGGTGGAGCCCCCGTGCATCCCGTACCTGTGAGTGAGGCGCCTCTCCAGGGGCCGGGCCTGGTGTGTCCTTCGCACATCCCACGGCCCAGTCACAGTCCCCGAGGCAGGGAAGGGACAAGAGAACCCTCGCGCTCTCCCCACCTCCGCCCAGGGCCCAGCGCACAGCTCCTTTGCCCACGTGTGGTACTGTGCGTCTTCCCGGTCCTTGAGCTGGCTGTACAGCCACTGTCGCGCTGGAGCCCAGGGAGCCCTGGGTTACAGAAGCACAAAGAGCCACCCACATCAGGCCAGGGGTGGACCGGGCGCAAGGGGGAACCAGGGAAAACCACAGCTGAGCAGGTGTCTCTGCCAGGACAGGACACAGGGACACTCCCTTCCCCTCCCGTCTCCTCAGGACTCTGGCTGCCTCTCTGTCCCTGCCAGGCCCTTGTCCTCAGGGCTCCGCAGCCCTTCCCGGGTCACCATGCCTACAGATGAGGGCGCCCTGTCCTCTTCCCCTGTTCTGGCTCTGTTGGCTTTGCGGTGTATTTCATAGTCGTACTTCGGCAGCCATGGTTCTGCCCCACCCTGGGCGCACAGCAGCTCCCCGGCAGAGCCTCGTGGGCCTGCACTGGCACCTGGGGGCCTGCAGGGGTCGCCGTGCGGGGTCTGTGTGGTGGGAATCAAGCTCCCTGGCCCCTCTGGCCTGTGCTGGGCTCTCAGCAGCCTCCTGGCGTGGGCTGCAGCTGGTACCACAGCCGACTGGCAGCTGACCCTCTGGCCTCCAAATCAGTCTCCAGCTGTAACTGGCTTGTCCACCATTGTCCCAGGGGTCTGATCCTGCAGGACCTGACCTTCGTCCACCTCGGCAACCCCGACTACGTGGATGGCAAGGTGAACTTCTCCAAGCGCTGGCAGCAGTTCAACATCCTGGACAGCATGCGCTGCTTCCAGCAGGCGTGAGTGCCGGGGCAGTCGGCAGGGACACGGGGCCAGGACGTGAGGGAAGGCCACACCACAGGCCTGCACCGGGGGCGGCTGACACCCACTGGCCTCCCTGCCTCCAGGGCAGCAGGGGCCAGGTGGGCCGTCAGAGCCCCCAAGGGAGGCCACCGGCGTGCTGCGGCTCAGAGCGCAGCCCGTGTCAGTGCCAGCATCCCGTCAGAATGGGCGGCGGCAGCCTCCAAGGCCGGGCAGCCGGCACAGCAGTGGCCGTGAGGTGCAGGGATGACCAAGGTCAGGTGTCCTCTGAGAGGGTGTGGCTGCCCCTCCCCACAGGCACTACGACATCCGGAGGAATGACGACATCATCAACTTCTTCAATGACTTTAGCGACCATTTGGCCGAGGAGGCTCTGTGGGAACTGTCTCTGAAAATCAAGCCCAGGAACATAACCCGGAGGAAGACAGACCGGGAGGAGAAGACCTAGGAGCGGCACCTGCCGGGACCAGACGCTCAGGAGGCCCGGAGAGGACTCAGACTGCCCGGCTCGGCCCGGCTCCCTTCCTGCAGGAGCAGCCCGAGCCCCGGCCCAGGCCCCCGCGGAGGGAGCGGAGCAGCAGGCGGCCAGGACTGAGCGCACCCGGCCCTGGTCCGGTTCCTGCTCCCCTCCCCTCCCTGTCCTCGGGCGCAGGAGGGGCCGTCGTGCAGGCTGGCAGGCTGGTGGGTACCTGCTGTCCAGCCCTGGAGCTGGGCTGCGCGTTTCACTGGAGTGGTGACGGGTGGCACTCAGCCACCCTGGAGCTGGCTGCAGACCTGTGGTGCCCTACCCCACCCGGGCCCCCTCACCGGTGTGCTGTGCAGCGCAGCCCCCGCCTGCCGCCTGCCGCCAGAGTGCCGGGGAGCAGGGGTGAGCGGGCGGGAGGGGAGGACTCGGCCACCACAGAAACACTGGTGAGGGCCACCCTCCGCGGTGCTCGCTGTGTGCCTTAACTCCCCTCCTGCCCTTCCCACCCCACCCCAGGGCCAGCAGGTCCCTCAGGAGAGCAGCTGCCTGGGAGCTTGGCGCAGAGTGGGAGGGGACCGGTCCTCCCCACGGGGGTTGACAGTCGGCTCAGCGGCCAGGTGCCCCATGGAAGGCCCCTGCCCACCTGGCTGTACAGCCACCAACCGGGGCCAGCAGGCAGGCGAGGGTCCAGAGGTGCCACCAGCCCCGGTGCTGTTCAGTCAGGAATGCCGGGACCTACTTCCACTTCCCTGACCCAAATAAGGGAAGGAAGGCCAGGCCGAGAGCAGCACCTGCCCACTGCGTGCGGAAGTCTCACCCGCCAGGCACCCTGCGCCCTCCCTGGATCTCTGAGCAGCTTTTATCCCGGAAAACGGGGTGGTTTCCTCTCCCTCTTGGCTGTTCTGTCTGTCCTGTACATAGGGAGGAGGAGACGTGTGAGCTGTCTCCCCGAGGCTCCCCTCTGGCAGCTGTCCTGCTGGCTGGCCGGAACCTGTCACTTTATTATTTAAGGAGTGTGCGTGTGCAGTCGCGGTTTATTAACAGTATTGTGTGGGTTGGGTTTTTAGTTTGTGCCCTCTCCCGGAAGTCCTCCCATTTCAGCCCTGCCTCCTCCTGCCTTCACCCTCGCCAGCTCAGCGGGCGCTGCCCTGTGCGCTTGGAGCCCGGGCTGTGGGAATGAGATGGCCTGCCTTTCTGAGAGCCCCAGGAAGCTCCCATGCGGCACAGCAAAGCCAGGGCTGCCCCAGCCGGGCCTGCCTGCCGAGTCCCCGTGGACACAGGTGCATCTGTGGCAGGACCTTCCTGCCAAAGCCCGGGGGTCGGATCAGAGCGGTGCTTGAGCAGAGTGCTCCCCGCGGTGCTTGGTGGCCTGAGCAGGGCATCCAGGTGGAGGAGCGCGGAGACAGGGCAGCATCCCTTGCTGACCACGTGAGGCCAGCGGGCCGTGTGTGTGTGTGTGTGTGTGTGTGTGTGTGTATGTGTGTAACTTACCCGCCTCTGGCTGCCCCTGGGCTGTTCTGGGAGCCAAGCGAATCCTGGGACGTTGGGCCTGCAGTGGACACGCAGACCTCTGGGTGTCGTGGAGCAGGCCCGGCTTGAGCCCCTACTCCAGCTCCCAAGCCCACGGCGCTGCGGCCGCCCCATGAGCTCCCCAGTGTCCCAGTATCACAGACCCCACTGGCGGTCTGACAGTGGCGTCTTCCCACAGACATTTCAAATGTGTAATTTTTATATGAAAGAAAAATAAACGGATGAACGCTGCCCAGTGAGCCGCCTGCCTGCGCAGTCCTGGGCGCAGGGGCCTGGCTCGCAGTCTGTCCCCAGCCTGCTTGCTGCACTCGGGCAGTTGGGCTCCTTTCCAGAATGTTCCCTCAGGGCTCACAGCCACCTCACCCCGGGCCCCTGGAAAAGGACACCTCCATGTGGCACTCAGCACCGGCATCTGTAGCTGACCCCCAGGACCCCCAAGCGCTGTCCGCAGAGCACGCCCTCTGCAGGTCCATGTCCTGTGCAGAGCCGCTGGGCCCAGGGCGGACGAGGCTGTCCGTCCCCCGTCTGCATGCTCGCAGAGCCGTGCTACATGCTGCACCCTGGGGACGAGGGTCCCCACCCCAGCACCTCCCCGCAGCGAGAACACACCCTGAACTGCAGCAGAAGGGGTGACGAGGGGGGCCCTCCAGGCTCAGTGCTCAGCCCCACCCCTGTGCCGAGCAGCTGCCGCCCCGAAAAGCCGGCTTGGGTCTGTCCCTGTAAGCGGGGAGACAGCCTTCTGCATGGGCCACGCTGCTGGACGCGGTTCTGACCTAGGCCAGTCCACCTGCAGGGGCCAGGGGTTCAAGTGTGGCCAGGAAGCCCCCTGCCAGCCGCGAGGGAACGGGGCCTCCTCAGCGTCCTCTGGGCGGCCATTCAGCCACACCTGCCTTGGGTGTGACCAGGGACTCCTGAGGCCCGGAGAGGGACCCGTGTGCCGGAGTCCACCACCACTATCTCCCTGGCTCACCAGCAGCGCCATGATGCCCACCTGGCCCTGACACCCAGGGACGGGGAGGCTCCCTGGGGCAGCCGTCGTGGCCGTGGACGGAACATGGAGTCGCAGAAGGTCCCACCCGGATCCTGGGAACCTGCGTGCACAACAGGGCCGTGTGTGGCTGTGCTGCTGTCTACCCTGACCTGGCTCTTCCCCGCTGGGCCGTGTATATGGGCAGCAGGCTGGAGGGAGGGACGCAGCCCCAGAGGCCCTGTCCCAACGGCAGCCGATGCTCCAAGGGCCCTCGGTGGGAGTGGGCACAGGGACGGCGCCCGCCCCAGGGGCCGTGTGGTCTCTGACAGGAGTGTGTTTGCTCTCGGCTTTAGGGTGCCAGGCAGCCATGCAGCCCTCGGAGGGGCAAATTCACGACCTCAGGAAGAGCTTCAAGCCGAGCACAGTGGTGCACAGATGGGATCGCAGCACTCTTGGAGGCTGAGGCAGGAGGATCACAACTTTGAGCCCAGGCTAGCAACTTAGTCACTTAGCGAGACCCTGGCTCAAAATAAAAACTAAAAAGGCTTGGGATGTAGCTCAGAGTGAAGGCCCTGGGTTCCACCCCCACTACTGGGAAAAAAAGTACAAAGAAGCAGCCCTTGGTGTTAAAGAAGTTAACTGAGGTCAGAAACCCAGCCACCCACCTAACCATCCCCAACAGATCACACATGCCAGGAAGCCAGCCCTACACAGGCTCCTGCCCCAAAAGGCAGAGGGGGAAACTCTTCTCACCCTGGTTTGGGTTTGGGGTTTGGGGTTTTTTTATTGTACAGAAGATGGAACCCAGGTGTTCTGTACAGCAGAGCTACATCCCTGGTTTTCTGTTTTTGGGGGGTTTGGTTTGGTTTGGTTTTTTGAGATAAGGTTTTGCTATGTAGCATAGGCTGGCCTCAAACCCAGGTGATTCCCCTGCCTCAGCCTCCTGAGTGCTGGGATGACAGGTGTGTGACACCACATTTGGCAAAAGCTAAGTGTTTATTTTCAGACAGGGTCCCACAGAGTTGCCCAGACTGGCTTTGAATTAGTGATTCTCCTGCCTCAGCCTCTGAAATGGTAGGATTAATGGGCAGTGACACCACACCCAGCTCAGTTTGTGGGGTGACAGATGTCACCTGACATCTGCTCCAGCAAAGGTGGGGCCAGATAGTGACAGGTCAGTCCAATGTGGCAACACTGGTGCCAGATTTTTTAAGTCCTCTCGGCACACCTGTCATCCCAGCCCTTGGGAGGCTGAGGCAGGAGGATCATCAAGTTCAAGGCCAGCCTGAACTACAGAGTGTAACCCTGTCCCCAAAACAGAAAAAGCACAAGCCCAAGCCTGAGGGCACAGAACCCCCCTCAGGCCTGAGCCCTAGGTGTAGCCAGATGTGGACAGGACAATGCAGAGCTTACTGTGTCCTAGGAGACTGAGATTGAGAATTGTGACATAACCAAAATACAGAAGCCAGACCATCAGTTTCCACTCAAAAACTACTAAATAGAGCTGGGCATGGTGGCACAAGCCTGTACTCTCAGCACTAGGGAGGCTGAGGCAGGAGGGTAGAGTCGCCACAAGTTCAAGGCCAGCCTGAATGAACCACATGGTAGATCCGTGTCTCAAAAACCAAAACAAACAAAGCAGGTGGGGGACGTAACTCAAGCCTATCTAGCATGTGTGAGTCCTTGGGTTCTAATCCCCATACTTAAAAACTCCATCGACCCCAGTTGATCCTTAGATGAAGAAGCACTTAGAGCCCCAACCCCAGCCTCTGTGTGTGGAAACCAGCTAGCCCAGGATTTACCGCTAGGGGTGGAGGCACTGCTCGCTGGTAGACCCTCGCCTGGCGCACGGTGAGGCCCTGGCTTCAATCCCAGCACCACGAAAAACAAAAACTCCCTGTGCCCGCAAATGATCCTAAATGGCCAAGCTGCGCCAGTGCCGGCACCTTGGTCACAGCTGCTGCGAAGGCTGAGCGCTGAGGTCCCCTGAGCCGGGAGCCCGGCCGACACGGGGGGCGCTGTCTCCAACAAACAGAGGAAGGTGGCCGGGAACTCTTAAAGGTAGTAGGGGGACCTGACCGCCCAGAGTCAAGGCTTACGGAGCCCCGTGAGGGGCGTGACGGTGGCACAAAACAACGAGATAGAGAACGGATCTGAACCTGACAGGAGCCGACCAGAGGACCTTTGTCAGTGGGCGCCTCTGCCACTAGTGAAACCCAAGCCACCGAAAGCACTGCCCATAAAGCAAAAGATAAGTCTGACTCCATTAAAACTGGCAAGCGGCAGGTGTTTTTTGGTTTTGGTTCTGGTTTTTTGGGTTTTTGGAAACAGTATCGCTAAGTAGTTCAGGCTGCCTTAAGTTGGACTTTAACTCATAGCAACCCTCCTGCCTCAGCCTCCCGCGTCCTGGGATAACAGGTATGGTGTGCACCACCACGCCTGGCTAGGAACAGCTTTAATATCTCTTACCTCCCCTGTCATCTTCAGCCCCCTTAGACAGAGTTCATTAGAAATGCAGAACATCAAGCTCCAATGAGGAGCAGAATCTGCATTTTAATGAGGTCCCTGGGGATTCACCCAGGTCCCTGGGTGATTTTTCCGTTCTGATTTATTTAAGAGTTCAGTGCATGCGTTGGGCCTGGGCTCAGTGGGTGCTAAAAGAAAAAATTCTGTGAGAAGAGGTGTGGCGGGTATTTTTTGGCATGTACCCACCCTCAGAGAAACATTTCCTTCCTCCTCTTTGTGGACCAGTCCTGGCCCTAGACTGGGGGCCACGGCCTGCCTCCCGCTGCAGGCAGTGGGCACCACAGCCTGTGGTCGTCAGCCCTGTCCTCCTCCCTGCAGATGGCCTTGAGTCGCATTCCTGTGCTGTCAGGACCTCAGCGACCTGACCCTCGGCCGCCTGCCGGGGAGGACCCTGCAGATCCCGGCTCAGGCAGCAGGGGCCAACGCTGAAGGTCTCAGGGACAGGGACAGAAGCTGGGCAGGAAGGAGTGAGTGACGGTCCTAGCAGAGCCGCCGGGAATGGTGGCTCTGGGCGTCGCTTCTCAGCGTGAGCAGTGGGCAGAGCTGTCCAGGACCGGCGGCGTCTCAGAGGGGCCAGGCCAGGCACCCGAGCCCAGCTGTGGACAGATGTCGGCTGCTCACCGGAAGGGAGCAGGAAGAGACAGTGTCCCCTCGAGGTCACACAGGGTACCACTTCCTGTGGACTGAGCAGACACGGGGCCCGGTTTCCAGGTGTGGGGCTAGCAGGGAGCCTGTCCCCTGCCCCGTCCCCTCCAGCAGCCAGCAGGAGGAGGGAGGTGGCCGCTCCTCTCCTCTCCCAGGACAGGCCCATCGCCAAGCGGGGCCGAGGTGACCAGTCCTTCCAGGTGGCTCTGCAGACACAGGGCTCGGTCCCACTGCAGTCTCTCAAGGCCAGGGTCCCAGGGAGACCTTGGAGGAGGTTGGGGGGGGATCCCGGGGCCACCGCAGAGGCCACGGCCTGAGATGGCTGCCACGCCCGCGCTGTCCTGCGCCCTCTGGGTGACAGCTGCTCACGCGGGGACCCGAGTCCACAGGAAGGGGCGGCCAGGCCCTGAGCCCGGGCAGCTCCTCAGCATCTCCACAGGAGCCGCAGCCTCAGGGGAGGTAGAGGGCCACCACCACGTAGACCACCCAGCTGGTGCACACGAAGACCCCGAAGAGCAGGCTGAAGAGCACCAGCAGGCGGGCCTTGCGTGACGCCTCCTCTGCCTGGGCCAGGTCCCCCCTGCCCAGCGCCGCGCGGGTCTGCAACGGGACAGCGGGTGTGGGGTGAGCGGGGGCTGCCAGGCCACGGCCCACAGGGCCACAGGGGTCACTCCACCGGCTCATAGGAAGGCACAAAGGCTCAGTGTGGTCAGCGACTGCCCAGGGCCTCATGGCCCGGGGGGCCAAGTCCCCAGCGGCAGCACCTCCAGAGCCCCTGGGCGCCGCGCCGAGAGCTGTGGCTCCAGGCCCAGCTGGGCAAGTCTGAGTGTGGGCCGTGGGGGCCTGCTCTGTGAGGACGTCATCCACAGCACCACTGCCGCCAGGGCCACAGCCTGTGCCACCATGCGGTCAGCGAGCTGGCCGTGGGGAGGAGACAGAGAGCAGAGGGTGAGTGGGTCAGACGATGAATGGATGGATGGACAGAAAGAGGGATGGAGGAGCAGGGATGGGAAAGATGGGAGAAGGGTGGGGTATGGCTGATAGCGATGGAGGATGGATGGATGGAGGATGGATGGATGGATGGATGGATGGATGGATGGATGGATGGATGGATGGACAGTGGGTGGGTAAATGGACAGGTGGAGTTGGGTGGTGAGTGAATGGATGGTTGGGTGAATGGACAGATGACTGGATGGATGGATGGACGGATAGCTGGGTGACTGGATACATAGGTGGAAAGAAGTGAGTGGGCGTGTGGCGGACAAATGGATGGGGGGTGGATGGACAGATGACTGGGTGGGTGAGTGGACAGACGGATGAATGGGTGGGTGGATGGGTGGGTGGACAGATGACTGGGTGGGTGGGTGAGTGGACAGACGGATGAATGGGGG